GGGGGGGATTTGGGGAGTTCTGGAGGGGTTTGGGGGGTCCTGGGGGAGATTTGGGGGTCCCAGTGGAGTTTGAGGGGTCCTGGGGGGGTCTGGGGCATCCTGGGAGAGATTTTGGGGGTCCCAGTGGGGTTTTGGGATATTTTGGGGGTCCCCAGGTGGTTTTGGGGTATTTGGGGGATATTTTGGGGGGGATTTTGGTGATCCCAGGTGGCTTTGGGGGGGATTTGGGGGTCCCCGGGTTATTTTGGGGGTCCCGGGTGGTTTTGGGGGATTTGGGGGATATTTTGGGGTACATTTTGGGGTACTTGGGGGATATTTTGGGGTATTTTGGGGTACATTTTGGGGGTCCCTGACCCTGCCCCCCAGTACACGCCCACCGTGGGGGCTCTGGTGGAGATCCGCAGCCGGCGGGTGCAGCTCTACGGGGCGCGGCTGCGCGTGCACGCGCACTTCAGCGGCCTCAGGTACGCCTAAACCCGGCCTAAACATGGCCTAAACCTGGCTTAAACATGGCCTAAACCTGGCTTAAACATGGCCTAAACCTGGCTTAAACATGGCCTAAACCTGGCTTAAACATGGCCTAAGCATGGCCTAAACCTGCCCTAAACCTGGCTTAAATCCGGCCTAAACTCTGCCTTAAACCCAGTCTAAAACATGGCTTAAACCTGCCCTAAACCTGGCCTAAACCCAGCCTAAACCCGGCCTAAGCATGGTTTAAAACAGGCCTAAATCCTGCTTTAAACCTGGCCTAAACCTGGCCTTAAACCTGCCCCAGCCCCACTTCAGCAGCCTCAGGTACTGCCTAAACCCGGCCTGAACCCGGCCTAAAACCTGGCTTAAATCTGCCCTAAACCCGGCCTAAGCATGGCCTAAATCCAGCCTAAACCTGGCCTTAAACCTGCCCCAGCCCCACTTCAGCGGCCTCAGGTACTGCCTAAACCTGGCCTAAACCTGGCCTAAACATGGCCTAAACATGGCCTAAATCCTGCTTTAAACCCGGGCCTAAACGTGGCTTAAACCTGCCCTAAACCCGGCCTAAACCCGGCCTAAGCATGGTTTAAAACAGGCCTAAATCCTGCTTTAAACCTGGCCTAAACCCAGCCTAAATCCTGCTTTAAACCCGGCCTAAATCCTGCTTTAAACCTGGCTTAAACATGGCCTAAACGTGACCTAAACCTGGCCTAAACCCGGCCTAACCCTGCCCCAAGCGGCCCCGGGTACGGGGGGGGTCCTGAGACCCCAAACCTGACCCCGAAACCGCTCCTGACCCTGAGCCACACCTGAGCCACACGCGTGTCACACGTGTGTCACGTGTCACACCTGTCACACCTGTGTCACACCTGTCTGTCCCTGTTTAACACACCTGTACCACACACCTGTCCCTGTATCACACTCAGGGCGCTGTCGGAGGCCGGGCAGGAGCGCGAGCGGCGGCGCCGGGGGCAGGAGCTGGCCAAGCTGCGGGAATGGCGGCGGGACGAGGAGCGGCGCCGCGCGGCCGAGGAGCGGCGGCGGGACCGGGCCGAGGAGCGCGCGGCGCGGTGAGGAGGGAACGGGCCCGGCACCGCCCGAAATGAAACCCCAAAACTTCGGGGGGAACCCCAAAAAAATGAACCCCAAAAGGAGATGACCGCGCCGAGTCCTCCGGGCCGCCAGGGGGCGCCACAACCGCGGGAAGCGCCCTCACGGAGCCCTCAGAACCCTCGGCCCCCAAAACCTCGGGGAACCCCAAAATCCCAACACCAAACCCCAAAGGACGCCCCAAACCCTCCTTGGAAACTCCGGGAGACCCCAAAATGATTTAGGAAATCCCAAAACCTCTGGAATTTTTCCCATTTAAAACCAGGGGGGGCTTCCTGCCCAGAGTCCTCCGGGCCGCCAGGGGGCGCCTCAACCGCGGCAAGCTCCCTCACGGAGCCCTCAGAACCCTCGGCCCCCAAAACCTCGGGGAACCCCAAAATCCCAACACCAAACCCCAAAGGGACACCCCAAAACCTCCCGGGAAGCCCCAAAATGTTTTAGGAAATCCCAAAACCCCCGGAATTTCTCCCATTCAAATTCCCGGGAAGGGCTTTGCACGCTGAGTCCTCCGGGCCGCCAGGGGGCGCCACAACCGCGGCAAGCTCCCTCACGAACGATGGCGGCACCGAGGAGATTTTGGGGACCCAAAAAACCCCTCAGGACCCTCTCAAATTATAGGAACCCCCCGAATTCCCACCCTAAAACCTTTGGGGACCCTCCCCAAGCCCCAAAACCTGACGGTGCTGCCCTAAAATTAGGGGGGGTTTCCCCAAATCTCCTCCCTCAGATTCCCGCCGCCCCCCCGGGATTTTGGGATCCCAAAACTTTTGGGGGAACCCCTGAGAATTTTGGGATTTTTCCCCCCCCGTTCCCACAGGCAGAGAGTGCGGGAGAAGATCGAGAGGGACAAGGCGGAGCGAGCGCAGAGGGTGAGCGGGGTCACAAAGGATTTGGGGTGGGATCCCACAGAACTGGGGAATCCCAAAGGGTTTGGGGGGGATCCCAAAGGATTTGGGGGGGATTCCACAGAATTGGGGAATCCCAAAGGGTTTGGGGTGGGATCCCACAGAATTGGGGGGACCCCAAAGGCTTTGGGGGCAATCCCAAAGGATTTGGGGGGGATCCCATAGAATTGGGGGATCCCAAAGGATTTGGGGGGGATTCCACAGAATTGGGGGGATCCCAAAGGGTTTGGGGTGGGATCCCATAGAACTGAGGGGACCTCAAAGGATTGAGGGGGATCCCAAAGGATTTGGGGCCTGATCCTACAGAATTGGGGAATCCCAAAGGATTTGGGGAACCCCAAAGGATTGAAGGTGATCCCAAAGGATTTGGGGTGGGATCCCAAAGGATTTGGGGTCTGATCCCACAGAATTGGGGGGAATCCCAAAGGATTTGGGGGGAATCCAAAAGGATTGAAGGGGATCCCAAAAGATTGAGGGGGATCTCGAAAGGATTTGGGGGGACCCAAAGGATTGAGGGGGTTCCCAAGGATTTTGGGGGTCCCACGGGATTTGGGGTGATCCCACGGGATTTGGGGTGATCCCACGGGGATTTGGGGGTCCCTCGAGGTCAGTTCGGGGCCCGGGACCCCCCATCTCCCCCCCGTGTCCCCCCCAGTTCGCCGCGGCCCCCCCGGCCGAGCCCCCCAAGGCCGAGCCCCCCCAGGAGGCGCCAGATTTGGGGTGATCCCACGGGGATTTGGGGGTCCCTCGAGGTCAGTTCGGGGCCCGGGACCCCCCATCTCCCCCCCGTGTCCCCCCCAGTTCGCCGCGGCCCCCCCGGCCGAGCCCCCCAAGGCCGAGCCCCCCCAGGAGGCGCCAG